CGGAGCCGCACACGCGCCCTTCCCGCGTAGCCCGGCGCCGGCCTGCCCGCCAATCAGCGTCCGGCTCCGGCCGCCCCGCCCCCTTCATAAAAAAAGCGGGGGGGGAAGCTCGTTGTGGTAGCTCATTTTTGGCCTAGCCCGAGGGCCGGGCACAGCCAGGTCCAGGCCTAAACCCAACCCTAATCTCTCTTGACTTCTGTCCAAAGCTGAAGCAGAGTGCCCAAAAGCTTGCCCAGCAGGTCTGCCGGCTAAAAGAGATCACCAACCACTTCTAGTTTCTCCCTTATTGCCTGGGCCACAAGACTGTTCCAACCCAGGGACCCTCAACCATGGGCACGCGGCTCCCTGAGGTGGCTTGAGATCCTCTTCAGGGCGCCGCACAGCATTGGGTCTGCAAAATATGACCTGGAAGTTTCAAATAAGACTCCAGAGCATTAAAAACATTCTGACCTCTTGAGGCCTTTCTGAGGAAAAAGAACTGCTCTCTTATTTTTGCTGTCAGGAAGCAAAAGCTAAGAGCTGGCATTTACTGAGGGTGCCTAGAGCCTAAGAAAAGTTGCAAACCACTGGTCCAACGATATTGCAGAACCTGTGTGAAAGAAAAACGACAGACCCTTCATGTTGACCATCGCTGTGTGGGTAGAGGGCCTGTGGAGTAGAGGGCTTGGCCACAGAACTGAGCAAAGCCTTTTGGCCTAAACTTTTCCCAAGCAAAATGCAAATTACGATCAGGTTCCCAGAGCTGTTTCCATCAAAAAGGAAAAATCCTGAAAAATAAACACATTTTCTTTTTACATTCTGGAAAATAAATATGAAACATTTTTGCATTGTGAGGTGTTTCAACAAGAATTAAAATGAATATCTGAGTTTAGGCAGACAAGGTTCTTCGGGTGAATCTGATATCTTTTATTAGACCAACTTAAATAGTTGGAAATTTTTTTCTTGGCAAGCTTTCGGGTTTAAAAACCCTTCATCAGGCTGAGTATAGTAATTTTTAGTAATTACCTGAGTATAGTAATTTTTAGTCACCAGCTTGTAGCACTGCAACCCTATACTATATAAAATGCACATTAGATTTTCTGATGCAACACAATTCACCCTCTTTCAGTGGGATCCTTGCCTGATTATGGACTGAACCAAGTATCTGGGACAGAGTTTATCAGACTCCAGATTGCCATGTGTAAGATTGAGTTTGATGACTTTTAATGTCATGGGAGTTTCAGAAGTTCCTGAATGTCCACACCTTATGAACACAGGTTTATCCCCTCAGTGACTTAATGGCTTGAGTAAACAACAAATGGCATGGGTAAGTCATTCATAGGAATGACTTAGTCATTTCCATCAGTATTTTGTATTATTGCTGACATAATATATTTATAAGAAGGCAGGGTAGATATGCAGCTTTATAGCCTAAATAAGGTATATATAGAGAAAGAGAGTGCAAGCTTTTGTGAACCCAGGTTCATTTCATCAGATGCTGTGAAAGGACAGCATAGGGCAGAGCATGAAGTGGAGTGAGCAATTAGAATATTATAGATGGGATTGCAGGGAAGAGGAGGAGAAATGCTGTGGGAGGCATACAAGCAAAGAACCCATGTGACCCCATGTTCCTAAAAGTTAATCCTATGAATTCTTATCCCAACACTTAGTTTTTGGAACCCCTTTCTTCCTCTGGGTTCTTTGCTTGTATGCCTCTGTCCACCAACCCCACTCCCTTCTGCCGCCCCCTTGCTTTCCTACGTATTAGTTGCACCTACATGAGACTCTTTACTTGAGATTAGAGCAAATTACTGCACAGTAAGTCACTGTCTACACATGCAGATGCTTACTGCATAGTAATTTGCTCTAATCACAAGTAAATTCACCACCTGTAAATACAAGTAGAAAATATACTCAGGAGTAATTACTACACAGTACAGCACATGCAGATAGCGGACTGGGAGCAAATTTGATCCTGATCAGTTGGGCAGCAAGGGGCAGGAGATAAGAGCTGCCTGCCGCCAGGGCAGACTCTGCCACTGGAGCCCAGGTGGGGGCAGTGTCCCCCTGACCCGGCAGCAGAGAGCTCCCAGCCCCAGCTCTGTGGTTGCAGAGCAGAGGCTGGGAGATGATTGTTCCCAGCCCCAGCTCCACAATCACAATGCAACCTCTCGCCCTTGGGAGATTTGCGGTAAGAATGGGAGAAGAATCTTGCAGGCTCTGCCTCGTGAGGTAAGAATCTCCTTGCTGCTGGAGCAGGGGGACATTGTCGCTGCCCAGGGTCCAGTGGCAGAATCTGCCCCAGCAGCAAGCAACTCCCGGTAGCATGGAGCAATCTCCCATTCCCTGCCAAGAGACAGCTGTCTTCTAGCCCCATGCTCCCTGCTAGCTCCTGGGCAACCACCTTGGGGGAGCTTAGAGGTCCCTCTGGCTGCTGCAGGGGGCTGGTGCAAAACCAGGATCAGACTGTTGCCAAGAGCAGCAAATCTGCTCCCACTTCCCTGCACATGTAGACACCTGCCTGGAGCATTTGCATGTGTAGACGCACCCATTATATTGTAATTACTCACTCCACTTTGTTCTATGCTGTCCTTTCACAGCATCTGATGAAGGGAACTTGGGTTGATGAAATCTTGTGTTCTCTATATATAGCTTATTTAGTAAGTCTATAACGGTGCATATCATCCGCTTCTGATTGACTTCAAACTGAAGTGACTACCTACCTCTCAGAATTTAATTGATCCCATCCTATAAAGGAATGACACATATCTAAGCAAAAAAAATGTAATAATGAGATAAGCTCCCCAAAAAACTTTTATCAATATCAAAAACTTTTACTGGAGTTCTTAGCCTTCCTACCCTGGATCACTTACTGAGAGCCTTATTCATTTGTCATGCCCTTTCGTGATTTAAGACAATGGCATTTTTTCCCTATATTCATCTGTATAGTCCAGAGGGGCTTAAACCCTAGCCTGAAAGTGAGATCCAGCCCATGAAGCCATGTCATTCAGCCCACAGGTCTCCTCACAAGCTGTGAAATTTAGCAGTGGGGGAGCTGCGACAATTAACACTGCCACCATTCCCCCAGT